TTCTTGTAGAGTTCTGTGTTGCTATATGAATTACATTTGTTTCATTTATTTATTTGTTTGTTTGTTTGTTTATTTATTTATTTATTTATTTGTTTGTTTGTTTGTTTCTTATCATACTCCGTATTACGTATTATACCCAGGAAATTACTCACGGTAGGACTAAAATATAGCACTTTTCTTAAAGTATGATCATATGTTTGATTTTCCTTAAATAGGACTAAACATTACACATTTACCCCTCATTTAATTAATTAATATAATTAATTGTCCCTAGTCCCTTGCATACTCAAAGCCATTTTGTTGGTGGCGGATCAGTCCGATGACGACAGCGGGGAACTGCAATGACAGAGGAGGACAAGTATATCGGTAGCGGCGATCTAGGTGAAAATTCTGACGACCAGCAGTGGTGGTCCACATTTAAAAGTCTATGGACTTTCTGAAAGTCAATTAACTTATCCATGGATTTAAATGTCCATAGAATTCATTCATAAAAAGTCTATGGATTTAAAAGTCCATTGACTTTTTTAAAAGTCCATGGATTAAAAAAAAAGTCCACCACAATCCATAATCAATACACCCCCCTAAATTTAGTAAAATTTGCATGTATCTAAATTATTTTTATTTTTACTTCATTAATTGAATATTAATCACATAAACCTACTTTTACTAATAAATGCACCATTTTCTCATATTTTAATGTTTGTGGAACAAACGTAGTAATATCTATAAGTAATTTAAACATTTCTCAATCAAAATTATACAATATTTTTATTAAGTAGAACCTAGTTAGGGTTTTCTTCTCTACTATTGGTTCTACTGGGGAGTGGCCGTCTCCCCTAGGTTTAGGGGTTGTTTTCTCCGCTTTCGTCTTCGACGAAGTGCAGCATTCTTGTGCGGTTTTCATCTGTCATTCGTGGGGCTTTCTTCTTCGGCAGGAAGTAGCGTCTATATGGTGACCAAAGGTTGTGCACCCCTGGCAGTAAGTGGAGAGTTTCGAGGATGTCATTCATGGTTGAGATCAGAAGGTCATGGACGAAGTGCTGGGCTAGGGGCTGGAACAGCTCTGGATTTGAGGTCATCCATGTTAGGCGGCAGAGGAGGCTTGATAGAGAATATGATGAATAAGAGGCCAGGAGAGGAAGAAGTTACGTAAACTACTGCTGGACTGTCCCCCTCCTGAACCGCCATCGTCGAGTGCAGGAGAGTCTAGGGTTTGGAAGCAACATTTAAATTTTACTGTTTGCTTTCTTTTTATTTTTAATGATCAGACTGTTTACTTTTTGTTGGTTACTTTTATTATTGTACGACTCTTGCATTAGGATTGGGTGATGGGAGGCATGTTTTACCGTCGTTGGCTCATTTATGCCCATTAAAGGATCAACGAGTCATATTGCTTTTTTGAAAGTGATTGACTCTAAGTCCGGTTCGAGGGCTGACGGTTGTCAGTGGTCCTTTTGTTGTTTTATACCCCTATTTGAAGTTGTGATATCAATTTAAGTCTCCTTCCAAAAAAAATTAAATAGAACCTAGTTATTGTGATTAGACCTAGATCCTCTTAAAGTTTGGAACGGTCTTGAATTAACACGAGCTTGGCATTGACTATTTAGGGGTGTTTGAAACTGATTCTGTTTCTGCTTCTTTTTTAAAGCAGAAGCAGAATCAGTTTTCAGAAGTTGGTCCCCCCAGCTTCCAAAAAAACTGATTCTAGGAGTAAATTAGAGCACCAGAATCACTTCTACACTTTCACCCAAACACTCCAGCTTCTGATTCTGCTCCCTGAAAGAGCAGAAACAGTTTTAAGAATCGAATCGAAATACCACCTTACCGTGTAACGTAGTTGAGTATTGTAACAACTAACAACAATATAATGTGGGCGAAGTGGAAATGTGTTCTACTTTATTTTTGCGTGTATGTACATTTTTTATATCCATTTATTAAATTGACCCTGGACAATTCACAATGATAGTACGTTTCGATTAGAAATAATTTAAATGGTTTCTTTTCATACATATTTTTTATTTTCAATTAATTTATTTTTTTATTATATGCTTATTAGTTTGTCTCTGATTAACTTACCTCATCTTTTGATTCATATGTTTTTCATTGAAGTATATATAAATGAAAAAATGAAACTACATTAATCACAAAATATCTTTCTACAAAGAATTTGTTGCTAATTTTTAGGATAAAAGGAAATGAAAAGTATTATACAATGATATTTTCGTCAAATTTCATTATCTCTAATTGACTTTAGATATCAGATTGATATCGTGATCAAGTGTTTATGGAAGAATGTTATCATGTTACAATTGAAACATACTCCTGATTTAAATTTCTGAATACAAATGATCAAATGATTATTTTAAACATCAATTTTTTTAATGTAAATATTAAGAAAACAAATGACATAATTAAACCTTCCAAAGTTATCCAAAGGTGAGTGTTCTTTTAAAAATGTGTTCGTTATATAGTATGAATGTAGAAAAACAAAAACTCATATTCAAACGCAAAATAGTAATACAGTTTTAAAGGAAATTGAACGTAATAATTGTGAAGAAAAACTATTATAGTCATTTTTAAAAAGATGATGATAATTGATTAGAGATATCTACCATGCATTAATTCAAGCATACACCCCTATCTCTAAGGGAATATATTCTTTCTTCTTTATCAACCAAAGCAAAGATTCTATTCTCCTTCTCCTCCACAAAACAGCTAGGTTTTTCTTGAGCGATGTTAAACCATAATAATTAATTAAGAACCTCCTGACCTTAATTACAATACTAGAGGAAACTAGTTAAAGGTATAATCATAATAATAATAATAATAATAATAATAATAATAATAATAATAATAATAATAATAATAATAATAATAATAATAATAATAATATAATAAGTGTTAAATAACAAATAAAGCCGCGGGTTGCATGGGTGATTGACACATTATTTGTATTTAACATTAAAAAAACATTTCATTGGGGGCAATATACTTAATACTTGCTTAGAATTCAAGCAACTTTATACATACACCTTTATTTTTGGAATTTATTCCTATGAGTGAATGAATATATTCCACCCCTTTGAGGGACCATCTACCCGCTCCTACATTTGGCATTTAGAAGTCTCTACTATACCCGGCTTGTTCTCCTTTTATTTCTTTGTATTTTATTAATTTAATTTCACCAAATTAAATTTTGCCACTTTTTCTTTTTCTATTTCACTTAGGATATGGTCTTGCCAGCCAGCCACCAAGGTAGGCTTACATAACTTGATTTAAGTTGATATGAAAATGATAGATAAATTAATGAGTGAAAAAATAAATGTAAACGTGGGCGTACACCACATGTCTGGAGACAAGAGCATAAAAGAGTAATCATTGATTCTCATCTCTATTCTATACTACTCCGTATATTAATACTCCCTCCGGTTTTTAATTAAGTTCCTGGTTTGACTTCACACATATTAAGAAATAAATTTAACTTTACTGTGGAGTGCACTGTTTGGACACTGTTTGGCACTGTTTGGACACTGTTTGGCACTGTTTTGGTTAAATCATTTGCAAAATAAGGAAAGGTTTAAAGTAGGAACTTTAATATGGACCATCCCAAAAAGGAAAGTAAGAACTTAATTACAGGACGGAGAGAGTATAAGATAATGAAGATAATGAAGTTATGATTTAACTAAGATAATGAATTTATGATTTAGCTAATTTATCTCTTTTTTCACATTTTTACTTTTTATTTCATTCAATATAAAATTGACAATATTAACTAGGACAGAGGTTCTAATATACGAAGTACTATCGTATTTATGATGCTTCAATTTTACCAACCTGCTGCAAGGCACAATCACTCCCTTAATTTGGTAGAGGATCCTGTGTAAGAAAAAAGTGGCCATGTTCGAACTAGAAGAAGGTGAACGATATGGTACCATAAAAAAAAATGAGAGTAGCCTCATTCGATGGTGGGCACCCTAGGCCCAAAAAATTGAGCGAAAAATAGGTCCAAGTTTAGTTATTTATAATAAGTGTGACTAGGGTTATTTTTCTGTCCTAAACTATCAATTTTTTGGATGAAATTTGTTAAAGTTCTTCGGAATGAATTTTTTTTGGAGAGAATTTATGATCATGTTCTCTATGAAGTGTAGATTATTTTTAAAAAAATCAATTTAAATCAATTCAATTTATGAGTCAATTAAATAAATTATTTATAAAACACTGTTTTTATACATATTTTGACACATTATTGTTCATTAATTTATTTAACTGACTTCACGATTGAATTTTAAGCTGAAATTTTATAGATATAATCTACACATGATGAAAAACATTATCTTAGAATTTCATAAAAAATTCCACTGGAAAGAAGTTTAGTCTGAAATCATTATTTGATTAGTTTTCAATTCATTCCATTGATATTTTCTTAAATATGACTTAAACATTCGTAAAGTGTACAAATAGGTCTGCATGTAAATGTCGTTCGGGATGGCCTGAAGCAAGTAGCCTACTTGAAGTTAGGGGTGGACTCGGGCCGGGCGGCCCGGCCCGGTTACTGTTTGGCCCGGCCCGGCCCGGCCTAGGGCCCGGTGGGTCCACCGGTTCGGTTCGGCCCGGCCCGGCTGCTGGGCGGTCCGGGCTCGGGCCCAGTTTTTGGTGAACCAGCCCGGCCGGTTCGGGCCGGTTTTTAATTATTTTTTGTTTTTTTTTTGAATTTTTTTTAAGTTTTGGGTTGGATTAGGTATTTTGGGCCATTTGAGGTGGTTTGGGGTGGTTTGGGGTGGTTTGGGTTGAGGGGGAGGGGTTGGGGGTTAAATAGAAGAGCCAAAAAAAAAATAGAACCGGTTAGGCCCGGCCCGGCCCGGTTTGGCCCGGAACCGCCCACCGGCGGTTTGGGCTCGGGCCCAACTTTCCTGGCCCGAGGCCCGGCCGGGCCCAGGCCCGAACCGGGCCCGAACCGGCCCGAGCCACCCCTACTTGAAGTAGGTCTTAGCAAGTAGGTGTGTTGTAACATTCACAATTTCACATTACTACACTAAAATTAAAAAATGGTATTCACATCAGTAAATGGATAAACATTAAAACCGTAAAAACAAAACACCAAAAAATCTTTCCAAAATTTGGCAACGGCATAGTTTCCGAACGCAAAGCAAAAAATCTTTATAACAAATGATTTCAGAAACCAAACTGTCGGAATATTTATTCAATATGAACAGCCTTAAGTTTTCACTGAAGTGAGAACTTATCACCATTTACGCTAAATCGCCATGTTCATATACTTCCCAGGCATACATATTTCATCTGCACAGAGAAAAAAATAAGACCCCAGGCTTAGTGATGGATCCATGAGGGGAATCAACTCATACTATCCTTATACATCCAATCTCATCAGATGCAATTCGGATGTTATAACCATGAAATTAAAATAGTACAAAAATGGTGCAGAATCATGATCTGCCATTATTATACTCCTTCAACCCTGAAAAGGTTCGTCATTTGACTAATTTCTTATATTTTTTCAATTTTGTGTACCAAATTTTTATCACAATCAAAGTAAATTTCCAATTTTAGTGTCAACGATCATTTTATGTAATTAAAAATAACATGTGTCAATGGGGATTGAAACTAAGGTCCAATATAAGTTAGGAAGTGTGAAGTGCACACTTGTATATAAAGAACAATTTTAATCTCGAAACGCATACAGAATTTTGGATTTGGAATGCCATGAAACTCGTAGTGGAACTTGCAGTAGACCCCTTTGTGGTTCTGGACAGAGGTCATGAGCAGTTTTAGGTAGTTTCATGCAGTTTTCCACAAACTGTTTTTTAAGTGCTTCCAACAGCTATTTTGTGAATATATCCGATTTTCGGACAGCACGGACATAGATACAATACTTTCCTTCATTGTTTTAGCTTTCAAAGCGAGAAAACATTAAATATACTCTTTAGTTTGTGCTCTTGATTTTGTGCCTAAATTCTTTATTGTCCTTTCGGATTATCCAAGTTTGAATTTCTTGAAACCCACTAACCCAGACATGGAGGTGAAATATCAATCAGGAAAGCGAACGTATGTGATCCCTAAACAATCCAAGTACTTTTCCCTAATATATATAGGAGTGGGATAAATACCAAAACTTTCCGTACACTGCACTGGTTGAAAGTTTTTAATATGACATCGGCATATATTTTAAAAATTCTCGGTAAACAGATATACTATTATACCGAAAGTCTAATCCAAAAGTTTTTTTAAATATAAAAATGAATAGAAACACAACATCAATTAATGATAAATGACTTTATATTCATGTTGTTTAAATTATTTTTATTTTTATTGAAGATAGATATTGTTTTGTTTATATATCTATATTGTTTATGGGTGCAAGTGTGTTTTTTTAATATGTGATATGTTGAGATGTTGAATGATTTTTTTAAAAATGTTGAAAGATAACTATAATAACTATTGTAAATAATTAAATAGGACATCAATAGGTAATGACTTGCTATATTAAAATTCCATTATGACATTATATATTACGGATACCGCAATTTATACATTTGAATATAACTTTTAGGGAAAACTATCAAATAGGTCCTCCAACTTTTCAGAAAAAGTCAATCGAATCCTTACAGTATTTATCGAATCAATCAAGTCCTTTAAGTTTTTCAAAATCACCAAATCCGCCATTTGAGCGGTAAACCACCAGTAACCTAGTTTGGATGTCCACGTGGCATTTTTTTTCTGTTTTCCATTCTTTTATTCTTTCCTTTTTCATTTTCTTTTTCTCCTTCTTTCTCTTTCTTCTTTCTTATTGTGTTCTCGTTCTTTCTTCTCTAGCAGCCAGACCCGTCTTCTTCCCCCATTTCATTTTCTTTCTTTCTTATTCTTTCTTTCCCCCATTTCGAGACTCCGAATATAGAAGGGCCTGGGGCCTGGGAGGTTTTAGCGTATGGAGGTAGGGGTGGGGGAGGTGTGGGTATGGAGGTATATTGGGACAGCGGAGATGGTGAGTATGGATATAGGAGCGGCGGATGTGGTGGGTATGGAGGTATGGCGCCGGAAGTGGTGTCCTGATGGGTATAGAGGGCAGAAGTCACTGTAGCCTCTAATGGAGGAGTCGGAGATAGAGGTTGGGCAGGTGACGGCAGTGGAAGTCGCCCGCCGGAGAAGGTGGAGGAGGTCAGTCTCCTGCCGGAGAAGAAATAACAGAAGAAAAAGAAATATAAATAAAAGGGGAGGAAAATATGGGTCTGGAGAGGGGAGGGAAAAAACGGGTCTAGGAGGAGAAGAAAAAAAGTAAAGAAGAAAGAGAATGAAAAAATGAAATAAGAAAAAGAAAAGTAAAGAAAAAATTAAAGTATTGCCACATAGGCATCCAAGTCAGTCATAACCGGCATCAGTGGTATCAAACCGGCTAAATAGTTAATTTGATTGCTTTTTAACACTTAGTGGACTCAATTGACACACGAAAAACTCTAAGGACCCAATTGACTCAATTGACTTTTTCATAAAAGTATAAGGATCTATTTGACAGTTTTCCCTAACTTTTACTATAGTTTCTGAACATGCCAATGTTAACTATTAATACTAAATTTAGTACTCCCTCCGGTTCTGATTCTTCTTTACACTCACTATTCATTGATCAACTTAAGTCACTCTTAATCTTTTACTTTATATATCAAATTTTTATGGAATTTAAATTTTCTTAATCAGGCTTTGTAGCGGTTTCAATGTAGTTTCTGAATATGTAAATTTTATTTACTAAAAATAATCTGAGTGTGACAGGGATCGAGTTGCTTTATTGTCAGTCAAGCATTTTTTCCCAAGTGTAAAGGAGAATCAGAACCGGAGGGAGTATTACTCTGTGTGTTAGGGAGTTGACTTTAATTTCAGAGAAAGTTAAATAGTAAAGGAAATAGACGGAGGTAGTGATTAATATCATAAAGTAATGGTGTATACATACTTCAAGGTATTCATCCATCCCATACTTCGAACCTTCTCGGCCCAGACCTGACTGTTTCATGCCACCAAATGGAGCCACCTACATCAAAAGAAAAGCCAAATGAAAGTTCTTCCCCTTTGTAAATAGATGAATATCAAAAGAGATGACCAACCTCAGTTGAAACTAGTCCTTCATTCACTCCAACAATTCCATATTCAAGAGCTTCTGTGACTTGCCAAGATCGCCTAATGTTTGTCGTAAATATATATGCAGCTAGGCCTAAAATTGAAATAAAGTACACTTAGTCTTTGTTCAACCCTAACATAGCTGGTTAACCCTAAATGATCAGATCCCAAATCTGTATAAGAGTAGCACCAACAATAACATGCCTGTATAAACATATGTTCTTTGTAAAGAGTTGATACATCAATTAATATAATTCATCACTACTACATTTATACATGGTAGAAGAACCATATCTCTTTGGGATGAATTTAGCATATGTAAAGCCAAACCACCTTTTTGTGACTGTTTATTGTTATAGCATGTTATGGTGCTTTTCTGTTGAAAATCGCATCCTACACAAAGCTCAGATAATAGTCATAAATATTTTCCCAAAATCTCATCAAAGGAGAAGAAAATGCCAGTTGCTGTTGGAGATGTACCCACAAGCCAATGTGAAAAGTGCATTGTCATCCACAACTGCTAAAAGAGCCACGCACCACTACTATTGGAGTTTCTACTCAATTTGCACACCTCAGCTTAGTTAGTTTTTTTCATTTTTTTGCAAACAAGCCATGCCAGAGCCCTCACCTTCTGACCTCAAACATATTCATAGAGATATAGTTTAATATATAGCTAACAACTTTAAGATGAACCGTCAAAATGCAAGGAGCCATGTGATGAAGAAAGAAAACACAATAAATGATAACGCAATTAGGCCATTTAGATTTCATTCCCATCTAGACTAGCTACACAAAACAATTATGTGACACAAACCTGCATTGGTGTCATTTGCCATTTGGATAGCCTCGTCCTCGGTTTTGAATTTCAAAAGAGGTGCAACTGGCCCAAATATCTCATCCCTGAATTATGAATAAAAAAATCGAACTTACTTAAAACCCTTAACTATCACCTCCAAGTTAATGTAAGCTAAAATATGTAGAAGAGCAAGAGAATTAATGTATACGACGCATTATTATGCTTTGCTCTCACATTCCATACATCAGGACCCCATAAATACATTGAGGTATAGAGTACATCAAAGATCAAGGGAAACCTACACGCCATATCAATGGTTAAGCATGTTAAGCACGTGCTAAAATTTCACTTCCCATCAGATTGGAATGCATAGCAATCTTGACCTACCTCACTGAGAAAACATTAACTTTTGGAGCCACTGATCTCATTCGTAACTCACAAATATGTTTCTCTGTCGCCATTCCTACTTTTAATACCAAATATCTTTCTCTGTCGCAAACATCTCTCAAGCCAGTTGTTGTCTTACAACGTCTAACAGCTGGTCCACTTATGTCAATCGCTTGTCTTTTGTCGGTCCTTGCCAGTCCCTACCTGGCCACTGGTTTACTTGCCGGTTGTCAACCTTGTGTCATTCCCCACTCTCCTTTGCCAGTCTCTGTTTTTATAATGCCCCTTACTGGTCAACCTTTCTGAATGCGAATATTCTTATTAGCCATTGCAGTGGCGCTAATCCAAATTTACTGTCCTAATTGAAGCGTGAAATTTCAATTTACACAAAGGGGTTTGTGTGAGAATTTTCTTCAAAAGACGCTAGATCACAAAAGTATTGCCATAACATCTGACTCCATTGAAAAGCAACTTTAAAATCTGACACCCCATGAAAAGAAACCTTACCTGACACGTGCTGAATATTGATACAATTGAACTTCTCCAAATATGAAACCTTAGAAGAGAACATATACAGACAAATATAAACATTCTAGACTAGGCCTACAGTGGCATTAAGATTAAGGTTTCTTTGTCGAATTGGACACTATTCATATTATTCAACAATATATGCATCATTCTTGTTACAAGTGAATGCTGTTTTAAGACCTCTAAGAGACTTATTCATTATATCTGCCAATTAATAAGTGAAGCTGACAAACTTGTATCCATTATGATCTTCACCTTGATGGAGTGACAATTGAATTCTCTATGCCACGTCCTCTCATTAAATTTGGGTTTCACTCAATATGCATCGAATTCCATCATTTGCAATGGAGCCAAATATCCATTATTTTTTGGCTTGGGAATATGATGGAATAAAGCAAAATGGCTCACTAAACTGTTTGCGCTTCTTTGTTATGAAGCAGCAGTCAGTCCATGCAATTTTGGACGCGATTTTCACTATGGGTCATCCGGAAACAGTCTCTCTGTGCTTTAGTACAGAGGTAAGACTGCGTACATCCGACCCCCCCTTACCTCACCGTAGGTGGGAGCCTTTGCGGCACCGGGGTAAATGAAAATGATGACTCAATATGCATCGAGTCATTGACACATTGCTGCTTGAGTCGCTTGACTATCAGACAAATCAATAGAGATGTGCACATTACCATATTCGAATTCAAAATGCAAATGTTTCAACCACAAAAGTTCACAGGAGGCCAAGGCCACAGTACAATACTGGACAATACTGAACACCAGTACTAGACCTAAACCATCTCATTTCTGACTTTCTCAAAAGATGAGGTTGCCAACAATAAAGATGAAATATCCTTATGTAGAGCACTAATGAATAGGATACTTGGCTCAGTCAACATCAGAGTACCCAACAGTTTGATTGTGACATTTATCTTCACAAAATAAACCTCGGTGTGGTGCTTTCTTAATATATACCTCAAGACTCATATAGATTCGCCCTAATGACTATCAAATACGTAGCACGAGATATAAACGTGAAAACTTAGGCAGCACCATGGAAAGAGACTTTCACACACACCCATTGTTTGGGATATTTGATTTTTTTGTACATACATACATATATCATCAAATGGGAAAGAGATACATACATATGTCATATGTGCTAACACACATATATCATCAAATTGAATATGATGTAAATGTTGAAAGTTTAATAATGAATAAGATTAAATTTTTGAAAATTTGATCAAAGGTCAAGAGACGCGCACAGGGTGTATGAAAGGTTAAGCATTTGAAGCACATGTTGAATTTCAAACACTGTCAAATATGTATTTTATAGATCCAGATAGAAACGTGAAAACTCCAGCTGCAGCATTTGAGAATGGTTATACCATTATACACTGGTAAATTATGATAGGATATGAATATATATGGTCCAACTGAGGCGGATGCGTAGGTGAGAACTGACTACTGAGAATGTTATGGCTTAGTTTTTTGAAGATCTAAGGGTTCAAAAGTCAATGGAAAAGCAAAGAGTAAACAATGACTTTTTCTTAAGTGGAAGTGTGGAACTCTCTGTAACTGTGCTTTGGGGGAGAAGTACACAGCTTGATACCTACAAGTGCAATCACAATTATTAAAAGTGTAAACATTGTGGTGCTTCTTCTGGCATCTTCTGTAATAAGTTAAAACCGTACTTGGATAGATTTTTTGGGCAAAAGTTGTCTAGAACAACGTGGCAACCCAAATTTGTCTTTTAAATGAGATGTTAATGGTTGAATAGTCTTTTGATACTATTTACATTTCATTCTAGCTCTCTTTTCTGGTTATTTGTTTGGTCCAGGCAGCATGAAACTAACAAAAAGTTATCATATAATCTTCATACTTGACTTCATACTTACCTCTATGTGGTAAAAAAGATACTACATTTGTGATTACATACTGCGTAATGCCTTAATCTCAATAAATGCTTTCTTGTGGGAATAAATAGGTGCTAGCCATGCCAACATTTGGACATCGATGAGAGTCTATACTCTATATACCAACACTTAGATCCACATTGGTTGTAATAAAGATTCATTCGAGAACAACTAGTATACCTTGAGAGAAGCATCTCACTCTTGACATCAGTAATCACGGTAGGCTGATAGAATGTCATGCCAAGACTATGTCTCTTGCCCCCAACTATGATTTTAGCCCCCTTACAGCAACAAAGTATACTTTTTTATTAGGGAAATGATCGTAGACATTCCACAGAAATATCAAAAACTGTCGAGTTCATAAGAGAACAGAGTAGCTATGCAAGGTATAGTTAATGAAAAGCAAATAGAAATTGAAAGCAAAATGTTAGTCTAAACTCTAAAATGACTAACCACTTAGTAGTTGAAACATTTGATTTTTCACCAATGACATACCTTAGAAATGGCTTCCTGCACAAACTTTTCGACCTGTAATAATCATAAACTTGTCATATAGGGTAGATGAATCCATTTCATAAGCAATAGAAAATGGGATGACAGAAGAAAAATGACCTTTTGTACTGCTGCTTCATTAATTAGAGGGCCCTGCAAAAAATGAGCAATTTACATGCAAGCTACAAAAACTAATGGTGAAAAGATAAACTACAATGCTAAAACCAATGTTCACCCAGAGAGAGCAGAACATAAAGGAAAAGTTTTCCAGACTACAATTCAACAATAAAAAGTGTAGTAATGAAGTTAGTTTATAATGGTGAAGATAAACTAAGCTGTGAAGTGACTTAGGAAACCATTTTCTCAGAGATCCATCAACCTGCATAACGCCTTCACCAAATCCATCACCAACTTTCAAATCTTGTACAGCATTTGAAAACGCTTCCACGAATTTGTCATAAATCCCTAAAAATGAATTAGAGACAAAGTGAATAATGCAAATTAATCTATAGTAAGTTGATATGAAGAAATACCACAATACGATTTCCGAAGGCTCAACAACTATAAAAAAAACATCAATCCACTATTAGTCTATTACTTTAAACAGCTGCCTGTAATTAACAATGTATGCGGTGAATCAGGTTATCAGGATGATCTTTTCAGCTTATACCTTCCTGAACAAGCACTCGGTTTGCACAGACACACGTTTGTCCACTATTGCGGAATTTTGTTGCCAGCTGCTCATAAGAAAGGAACATATAATATTACAAAAACATGGAAGCAAAAATGTTATCCAAGCACAGAAGAAATTTATAAATTGTTATTTAAAATAAATAAATGCACGGTATCAACTACTCTATTATTTAAGAGCTAGTGCTTATGGAGTAAAGTTACAATTGTGAATTTTATTGTCTGAACACGCTAAATCAGAATTTGCCTTCCAATCTATGAGATTCTATAATGTTTCACCGGAGTTGCATATACTACAAGTTCATCTAACTATATTCAATGGCAAATAGCTGCAAGCCTGAAACCCACTTCTCTTAAAATGTAAGCATGCAACAGAAATTTTAATTGAAAATTAAATATTAAAAGATGGAATTATGTGTTGCTTAAACTTACAGTTCCTCTCAAGGCTACATCAAGGTCAGCATCATCAAAGATTATGCATGGTGCATTACCACCGAGCTCAAGTGACACCTATAGCACACACAGACACAACTAAGTCATATTAAGGCACTTTATTTCAAACTGCACATCATAGACAATAAATACATGCACGCACCTTTTTAACTGTGGCAGCAGAACCAGCCATCAATTTCTTTCCAACAGCTGTTGAGCCTGTAAATGTAATCTTCCTTACCTATTTTGAATTAACAGGCAGTAATGAACAAATAAAAAAAATGTCTTCAATATACCATTTAAAATATGCTGCATTACATAACCCATAAAATGCATATTTTAACACTGAAAGACCTGTGGGCTTGCAAGCAAAGCATCCCCAATATCCGCAGCATTTCCCATTACAACATTTACCACACCCTAAACAACAGAGGTAACACATGTTAAAACAGAACAGCCAAGAAAAGGGAGCAGACAGGCTGAACATCTTAAGAACATAGCAGATGAGGATTTCCTGATCAGGCATCAAGTTAGTATATACTCCCTCCGTCCCAATTTGATGGTCTTGTTTCTTTTGGGCACAAAGATTAAGAAAGTGTGGTAGAAAGACTAAAGAAGCTTACGTTATTTTACTGTTCATCCTTTTACTTTTACTGTTCATTAAAAAGAAGGGGTATAAATGGTAATCCACTTTTAGTTCTTTACCAAAAAGGGAAACAAGACCATCATTTTGGGACATCGCAAAAAGGAAATATAGGACCATCATTTTGGGACGGAGGGAGTACTATATAGCTAACTTTTTAACAGGTAGGTTTTGCAAACATGTGAGACAGTCAATATTTTTTTGATTATCAGTTGAAAGTCACTACATATGAGAATATGACACCAAGCATTTTGCACTTCTATCTTTCCAATATGTAAAAGGTGATTAGAAAAATGGAATGATAAGTTTTCTGCTATAGGCAACATGCCAGTGTCCAAATTTACCGGTGGTATTCCAGCTTGCAAAGACAGTTCAGCTGCTGCTAAGGCAGTCAAGGGTGTAAGCTCAGATGGCTTTATGACCACTGTACAACCACAGGCAATAGCCGGACCAACCTGATAAGAATATGTAATCAGATTTATGCTTTGCATACAGTACTGCACTTAGTTGTTGGTTTCTTAACACCAAAAGAAACAAAGACACGATAGTGGAAAAAGGCTAGGATGCCAACTTGAAAGCCTACCTTTCGAGTGATCATAGCCAATGGGAAATTCCAGGGTGTCACTGCACCAACAACACCTACCGGCTGTAACAAAAACACCTCTCTTTACTATAGGTAACGTTATAACAATTGGAATTATTAGAGGTGCACTTGTTAAAAGCCATTAGTAGATAAGTAAAATTACAGTGTAACACAGCTCCTAATACATATATACAATAGCAGCAGCAGCAGTAGTAGTAGTGCAATATGCAGTCACAATAAACCAGTTATCTGATATGACCCAGAAGCATCACAAGCTATGGTCTTTTTAAGTAAGATAGAATGAAAGTGTATAAATTTGTGGTTGGAATTTTATTGAAATCCTCAACTCCTGAGGTTTAGGATTTCTTGAGATCTCATATGTCCGGATTGAATTGTTAAATTTCCACTAGCATTCCTCAAACAATGGAAAGTCTGTATTTCCACTTGAAGGACAATACGAAGTTCAACCATAAACAAGTACCTCAAAGTCTGAAACTAGGGCTGCACAAAAATAGCCCCAACTCGCACTACCCGGCCGACACAACCCTATCCAGCCATTTTTAGTCAGTTATAAACCCGCACATAATGGGTAGGGTTGCGGAAGTAGGAGCCTCAAAACCGATGTTACTCGACCTGCCCTATATAAAGGTACCTTTGCTACTCTTCGATGACATTCCTTTCAATTTTCACCCTTAGAAGTTGAAAATAGTCCTTTATTCTCCTATTACTTTGTTGCAATACTTTGTGAGATGATTTCTTGTTAAAGAATGATATGGTCACTTATAAGTTAGGGGTCGTTTGGTTCAGGGAGTGTCAGATTACCATGGGAATGTCAGATTGCTCGGTGTGTTAGATAGATGGGAATTGGGAATGTATCCAATTTATTCCTATTTTTGTTTGGTTAAGATTAAGGGAATGTGACATTAATTTATTTTGTTGAAAGATATCTTATATTGCAGATATGGTGAATTACTTCAATGCCCTTTAAATATTTTATCTTAACACAATAAATCTATTACAACCTCCATCTAAAGTAATTAAAATTAAAGATAAAATAAAATCAAACCAAATTGAATTATTTTTTAGTAAACTATGTTTCATTGTAAGAAGTTGTAGATCAATACAAAAATGAAAAAAAACTTTGTTCAAATAATAATCAAAATATATTTATTATCATTGCAAAACAATTAAATTTAAAAAAATGTTCAAGTTATTCGTAAAACTTCTTTTCAAATTAAAGAAAAATGATCAATTTTGCCATTAAATTTTGAAATCAACTCATCAAAAACTTAAATAATCTATAAGTCTTATAACATAAATACCTTAAAAAATTTAAATGCTTAGGAAAAAAATATGAAAATAACAAGAATAGAATTCAAATATAATTAAATATACATACTCCATTCGTCCCACTTAAAAGGTTGTCACACAATCTACAATCGACTGACCATAAAATTAACTGATCTCTTTAAATAATAAGATTATTTTTAGTAACTAAAATATACATATTTAGAAACTACATTAAAAGTTTTATAAAATCGCACTATATAAAGAAATTAAATGAAAAATGATAATTAATTGAAGGTATTTTCGGAAGAAAATTAGACCATCCCTGGGAATGTAAGATAACCTAAGGCATGGATGGTTATAACATTCCCCTCCATATTACATTCTCGGGAATGTAACTTTTCCGATTTTTTCTCAAACATGTAAACCAAACATTGGTATCTGATATTCCGTGCATCACATTCTGACCTTCATGTGAGATTACCCCAAACCAAACATGCCCTTAGAGTTATAAATATTTACCATTTTTTCTAAGTGATTTACTACCTACGTCCCAAAAAACTTTGTCATCTCGTAAAGTTCGGACCATGATTATGATTATATAATATTATAGAAGTTATAAATTACATACTTTTATGAAAATACTTTAAACAAAAAACATTTTCATAACATTTTATATTATGAATAATTTTTAAAAATATATAGTTGGTCAAAGTTTTAAAGTTGGCAAAGTTTTTTGGGAAGGAGGTAGTATAACATTAAGTGTTGTTATGGCGGGGTTTCGCGGGGGTGGCGCCACCGGACCGCCATAGCTCCGTGGTGGCATCGCGGCGATGCGTGAACATCTAACAAAATTATACTTGTGAATGAGGGTTGGTACCCTTAACTTGTGTCAACACACTTTATGCATTAAAAGTTGTACATTGCTTATAGAAAATCAAACTCAGCTTTTAATATGACTACTTTGCCCTTACTTTTTTCCAACTAACGTTTATAACTTTAAATTCCGTTAAGTCTACTTTTCAAAACTCCAAAGTGCGTAGCTTTTCCACTGTTGCTAATTTAAGGTTTTTTATACATAGATGTCAACTTGGGTACTATGGAGTATATTTTACTAAAAACTTATTTCAAGCAATATAACATACGAAGTATAATGAAAGTATGGTACTACGTATATTATTCTCTATATCATTTTCTTCGTCCCAAACTCCCAATAAGATTGTCTCATCTTTTCTTTTCGGTCCGTTCCACTAAGATCGTCTCATATCAAATTTGTATGGGTCTAAATCATTCTTACTATATTCTTACTTTATCAATTTAAAATATAAACCATATAAACCCATTTTCTAATAATCGTGTCACCTCCTCTTGTCCCAATGTTAGTGGGACGGAGTTAGTACTATTTTAATATAGTACGAAGTATATATAGTATCCTCCGTTCTTTAATAGTCGCAACAATTTGACTTTCACATTTGCCAACGTATAGTTTTAACTGTAATTATATTTGATTACATATTAGTAAGTATTATAAAAAGTTAATATTTTGAAAATTCGCATTAATAGAAATTTAATAACATTTTATACAAAATAACTTGATTATACAGAGTATATATTAGTACAAATTCATGGTCAAAGTAAGGTGTGTGAATATAACAAAATTCACAAATTTGCAACTATTAAAGAACGGAGCTAGGAAGTATATATTTTACTAACAACAACTCTCTAGCTTGTTCAATGAAAGTGTTTATATCTTACAACAATATCACATACTCCGTATAATATTTGTTTGCACAAAAGAACTTTACTTCAACATTGGGCAAAGGCTCTCGCGCCTTGCGCGATGAAATGCTAGTAAGTACAATATTAATGATATATTTTGTATACCACATGGCACCATGGTGTCCCAATTAGCCTCAAGTCTTATGGCGTCGCCGCATCAACACTATGTTAAATCTTTTTTTATTTATATTGTTTATATTGTTAAATCTATTTCATAATCGATTTTTAGGAAATACGTAGTAGTTAAATAGACTTCTTAATAGGAAGGACAACTATATTACAACTTAGTGATTAAGTCATTTTTTTACTTAATGAATAAGTCATGCTTTCAAAGTCACAAATAAACATGACTTAATGACTGAACGATTAAGTTGTTGTTCTCATTACTTCCATTTAGTCAAAAGTAAACGGCCCCTAACTCGGAAACAAACTAACTAAGCTAACAGAGCCGAAACTAATAAGGGAAGCCACACCAGTTAAAGCCTTGGACAGAAAGAAAAAATACGGAATAAAAATGAATAGTTAATAAGAAACAATGTTTTTCCACATAGTTCTTTGGATGTATGGTTACTCCCCTCAATGGTATTGATATGAGCAAGGAAACCTTATATTATGACTATTATTACTATTATTATTCCTATGTCTGTTTTAGGCAGCTTCTTAATTAGCGTTTCTCTCCTTTTATAAGTATTCTTGTCCTGCTTTAGGCAACTTAATTAGCATAATTTCCTTTTATAATTAGGACTCGTAACAGATATATAAGGGTCAAAGAGTATTATTCAATAAACAAATTTTGAAGAATTAATTTTAGGTGTCTTGACAAGGTCGGAGACCGATAACTCTAGCTTAGGCTTATTTTATTATTTCTCTCTCATATCTCTATTCCCTAGATCCGAAATGAGATCCCAACCAGGCTCATAACAGATATCAACCTTGTCAGCAAGACCAATTGAAGTGTACCAACACCTGTTGAAGTGTGCCAACCCTGGTAAGGAACACCTTCCGATAGATTTAATAGATTCGTCCTCGCGCGCTGGTGTGATGAACTTTTCTTTCTTGTTCATCCCCGGTGACATAAGAGTTGTTTGCAATGATGTCCCACTGATAGGAATTATTAATAAGTGGGCCTATTATTATAGATATTAATAAGTGGGCATGTGATTTTAATAGAAGGAAGAGGGTTATGGGCTATAAATAGTTGGGAAAATTAACTAATGAGGCAGGCTGTGATTGAATTGGCATTTTGGCTTAGGAGAGTGGGCTTCTCGAACAGTCCCAGCTTTTGTATACGTATTGCGTTTAGCTCGATATCAATAAACACCTTCGATCATTACTCCATATTTCACATCGATCTATATTGTTTGTTGTTATGTTACCTGTGATCTATCATTGGTATCAGAGCAGTGGGGCGGGTGATCGTTGGCAGTAGCGACATCACCGTATTTGCCCAATTTCATCGTTCGGATCGTGAATGGTTCGAACAAGAGGAAAAATGGAGCAACGTCTGGAAGCAGTTGAACGCAGTCGAACTACCATGGAGGAAGCACTGTTGTGGATGGAAACGATGATGCAGAACATGTCAGGAAGGATCGACACGATGAGCGAGGACCACCATCACCGAGGGAGATCGCGATCTCACCATAGTCATCACTCGCGTCCATCGCCCAGTCCACCGGTCTCAAGAGGTAACTCTGCTCATTCGAACCCTGCTATTCACAGACGACATGATGAGTATAATAGATTCCCAGTTCATACGGGTCGTAAGGTGGATTTACCATTGTTCAATGGTGATGGGGCTTATAATTGGCTAGTAAGGATGAAGAGGTACTTTAGACTGAATTATATTGCTGAGGAGGATAAGTTGGAAGTCTCGGTAGTGGCTATGGAAGACAGGGCTCTGAATTGGTTCCAGTGGTGGGAACTTCAGACCGAGGAGAAGAACTGGGAATCACTTAAGGAATCTATTATTCGTAGATTCCAACCTGACCTGTTACAGAATCCATACGGACCGATGTTGAGTTTGAAGCAGACTGGAACAGTTGAAGCATACAGGGATGAATTTGAGATGATCATTGCTCCACAGAAGAATGTTGACCGAGAAATACTAAGGGGGGTATTTCTCGCTGGATTAAAGCCAGAAGTCAAAGCCGAATTGAAACTGCATCAATCCAGGTCACTAGCTGAAGTAATGGATATGGCTTTACTGGTTGAGAAGAGGAATGAAGCAGTATCTGTTAAGAGACAGGAGGATGAGAGACTGGGTGGAAGGGATAAAGAGTCAGTTTATGCTAAACCTCCCAGGTGGGGAGAAGGTTTCAGAACAAGAGCTGGTAGTTCAGGGGTTCAAACTCATAACAAAACTAACCAGACTTGGTTTAACTCAGCAGGGAATAAGGAGACTGAAATTCATTCTTCAGGGATAAAAAGGGTTGGACCACAGCTATCACATGATGAATACCAAGAGAGAAGTAGGAAGGGGCTTTACTTTAAGTGTGGAGAGAAGTGGAATAAAGAGCATACCTGCAAACTGAAGCATTATAAAATGATGCTTGTAGAAGATTCAGATGCTGAGGAGGAATCTGAAAGGATAGATCCTGAAATTACAGAAGAAGAAATTGTAATGGAGTCCAAATCCATGCAATTGTCACCCATGAGTAAGGAGGGGATACCTACCATGAGAGCCTTCAAGATTAAAGGAATTATGAAGTGGGATAGAGGGGTAAAACAAGTGGAAGTGCTGATTGATAGTGGGGCCACTCACAACTTCATTTCTAAGAAACTGGTGGATGAATTGGAGCTGCCTTTTAAAACCATTTCAGGATACAAAGTGCAGGTTGGTAATGGAGAAAAGCTATCTAATGATGGAAGATGTGAAGATTTGACTTTATGTATGCAGGGTTCAATCATAAAACAAAACTTTTACTTTCTGACTTTGGAAGAAACTGACTTGGTTTTGGGAATGGAGTGGCTGACTACTTTGGGTGATGTGGAAATAAACTTTCAGAAACAAAGTATAAAATGGAAGATTCAGGGGTTAGATCAGCAGATTCAAGGGGACCCACACTTGAGCTCCATGGAGATATCACTGAAAACCATGACTCCGGTGGTGCAGGTGGTGCAGGACACTGGTGATGGTTATTGTATGTTTTATGAAGGGCAATCTGTGCAGGTAAAGAGTGTTGCTTGTGCTGGAAGTCAGGATAAAGTTCTGGAGGTTGACAACACTGTAATATTTCTGTGGGCTTTGGCAAAATCAGGGGTGCAAGATGATCCAATGTATATTGCAATTGAAGAATCCAGGTTCACGCAATCTGATGCCAGGTTGGGGGTGATAGTAAAGGAAAGTGCAGGAAGGATGGGGAAGAAAATCTTGAGAACTGGGTTCGGAACTTACCAACTGTGGAAGTTTTACATTGAAGGTAGGAATTCTGGTTCCATACCAAAGATAACAGCTGCTGAAATATCAGGTTCTGGATTGAGCTGGGCAAATGAGTTTGATTTTGTATATCAGTTGACTCGATATAGAACTGGATTCTACGTTTCAGACGGTTGTGATTGCTATCTCACAAATAGGGCACCTCGTGGATCTACCTTTAAAACAAGGAAGTGAGAAGGGAATCACAGCTGCTAGAAATTGGTGGGGTGAACTGAACATTCATAGTGAAATTATGCAGCAAATAACCGGGAACCATAGCTCTCTTCATTGGCAATCTAAACGGGAGGTTGGGAAGGACCCAACAGTGTCAGTACACCTGCTCATTCTGGCGGTGGTAGAGGTCAAGAGGATGGCCCAAGTGCTGAAGCTAAAGATCCAGAATGCTTTGTGGTACTGGGTAGGGAGAGGGGCTCGGATGAAGATGAAGTTGATAATCAAGGCTGACTCCTATCACCCACCTTGAGGACAAGGTGGTTGTTTAGGGGGGGAGTAATGATAGGAATTATTAATAAGTGGGCCTATTATTATAGATATTAATAAGTGGGCCTGTGATTTTAATAGAAGGAAGAGGGTTATGGGCTATAAATAGTTGGGAAAATTAACTAATGAGGCAGGCTGTGATTGAATTGGCATTTTGGCTTAGGAGAGTGGGCTTCTCGAACAGTCCCAGCTTTTGTATACGTATTGCGTTTAGCTCGATATCAATAAACACCTTCGATCATTACTCCATATTTCTCATCGATCTATATTGTTTGCTGTTATATTACCTGTGATCTATCACCCACAAAACCATGTTTAGCCGCAATAAGAAATGCCCTTTTCGTTGGGTTCTTCTTGCTTGCTAGGAGAGAATGTCAAACTGGTGGTGTTCCAGGCTCCAGTTTGAGTACACTTGGCTATGTGAAATTCAGAATCTGGTGGAACAAGGTAGACATTGTTGTTCTGCACTTGGATTAGACTTGGCAGCATACATTACTGTTCGAGTGTATTTAGCTAGAGTGAGATTCGTCAGCTAGAGTCTGTAGGAAAACTCCCTTATCATACAGATGGCACCTGGTTGAGTGCATTTCTACATCAATATGTAAGAGCTCATCGACGATCAAATCATACAGTGTCAACCCAGGCCAAAAGAGTCCATATCCTCCACATATGTATTTGTATCAACCACATTCCACATTGTTTTAAGTTAGTTAATTCGCTTAATTTAGTTGGACTCTACTACCGGTAAAGTCAAGTAAAGTGAAGTAAAAGTTTTAGGTTGTAGATGCTAGAGTATAGCCCAAAAGTTGAAGTTATAGTTCAGCATTCAAGTTGTTCCATTCAAAGTACAAGTGATGTGAAATGAAGTTCAAGAATTCAAATCTCCAGCATCGACATTTCAGTTGATGTTTTGTGTCAAAGTTAAGAAAATATGAAGCTCAACTTGAGAGGGAGTTATAGTATAGTAAACAAACCTTAGGACTTAGAAACCCTAGAGTCTGAGTTTAACACTTATGATCACCTAGGATGGTGAGGGTTTTGGAATCCAAGTCTATATATAACAACAACAACAACTGTACTAAAGCACAAAGAGACTGTTTCAGGATGACCCATGATGAATATCGCATCGAAAATTGCATGGATTAATTGCTGCTTCATAACAAAGAAGCCAAAGAAGCGCAGACAATTTAGTAAGCCATTTTTCTTTATACTATCACATTTCCAAGTTAAGTCAATATCTTAATATCTTAATATAAATTTGAGATTTTATAAAACAGATGGAATAATATAATAGGTATCCGTTTAACATTTCAAATGTCTATTAAAGGCCCCTGGTCATTTAGTTCACACTAATAACACTAATATGCATGACATCTGAGTATCTGACTCCATCATGTACCAATATGTGTATCAATTGTACCAGTTTGTTAGCAAACACCTTAAATGTTGCAACACAGTCCATCAATGATGTGAACTTGGAATGGTCTGTTGTCAAAGGATTGCCATGAAGCTGGCAATTAAACCAAATGATATGACCGAGACACGTCATAGGGTGTTTACTGTTTATTGGTTAGCAAAGAAGATGGAACAAAATTGCCAGATTGGATTTGTTGCTAGATTGGGTTTTGTGAGATCCTAAAACTCCTGCATGTAGTCATTTATTGATACATTTCTACATGCATTCCTCGGACTATGGAGTCCAACTTTTATCAAAGGAGAATACGAAGTCCACGAAATAGAAGATCGAAGTACAAATTGACTAAAATGAAATGAATGATGAATCAAGCACCAAGAGAAAACCTCGACTAGTAAGAAAACATATGCGAACTAATAAGAAAACAAATGATTCCTTTTGGCGGTAGCCATGAGATGTTACATTTTCTAGGATGCTGCCCTAGAAAACCATAATGGTAAAACTCTAATAGCTGAAATGTACCATATGTGAGATCGGACTGTAACTGTACTTGAGCCCCTTTAACCCCTATTTTCAGCTTGTCAGCCAACTTTTTTATCAAATACGTAATTTTTTTATTTCACATGTTGAATTGTGTAGTAATCAAAATAAGTAAGGTTGGAGTTACTTTTTTATGGAATTGGCTGATGTTCCTGTAGAGGACAGTTTTTACTATTTTTGATACAATTTTATCTTTATTTTATTAATAAAATATATTTCAAATATAAATTTTCCATAAATCAACATATTTAGCCAATTTAGTAGGAATTTCATCAATTTTAGGAAATTCAACCAATTTCAGTGTTACCAAAAAGGACCTTTATGTGTATAAAACTGTTAATCTATACAGAGAATGCCTATAATTTGTACACACATATTGGGCTAAGCCTACCGCAACTATGAACCATTATAGTTACAAGTATACCCAATTGTATGAGCTAAAAAAAATTCAGTCACCTGCTTCAAAACAAACAAGCGACGATCTGGTAATGTTGCTGGAATAATATCACCATATACACGTTTAGCTTCTTCTGCAAAGAACTCAATGAAACTGGCTCCATAAGTGACCTGTAGATTGCCTAATTAATTGATACTATAGTACTATACAAAGCAATAGCAGTCCACGCTGCAGAGATAATATATTGACAAGTACAGATTCAAATTAGATACCTCCCCGATGGCCTCTTTTAAAGGTTTTCCTTGCTCTAGGGTCATAAGTTGCCCAAGCTCTTCCTTGTGAATCATTAACAAATCAAACCTGGAAACATGATAAAAGTAATCAGCTTAACAAATCAAGATGCGAATGCAGTGCAAATTGTGATAGGGTGAGATGTGAGCATGTGGCCAGTATGTAATAATATGAAGTTGAAAAATTGTTTTCAAGAAAATGTAATTGTCAATAAAACAACAACATCCAAGCCTTAGTCCCAAAAGATTTTGGGGTTGGCTAACATGATCGATACATTATATCGGAGCCAACAGGAAAAGAAAGATAAAAAAGATAAGATATGATAAAAAAAGATTTAAAAAAAATCTGATAAAGATAAAGATAAATATAAGATAAAGATAAAAATGATAAGATAAAATTAGTGTTGAAATATAAACTAGAATGATATTAAAGATGGAGAGAAGGATTTTCTGTGTATTTCATTGGAGGGATAAGTCCCTATATATATACATTACAAAGATAGAATATTCCTATAAGATGCTATACAATAATAATATCCTAGAGTATATTCCTATAAGATGCTATACAATAATAATATCCTAGAGTATATTCCTAAAATATTCCAAAGCATATTCTAAAGATAGAAGAATAGTCTAAAGCATATTATACATCATATTCCAATGTCTTTCACACTCCCCCTCAAGTTGGAGCATAGATATTTATCATGCTCAACTTGTTACATAAATAACCAACACGAATTCCATGTAGTGCTTTAGTGAACAAGTTTCCAAGTTGCTCTCCCGTCTTCACATATCCTGTAGAGATCAATCCTTGTTGTATCTTTTCTCGAACAAAGTGACAATCGACCTCAATATGCTTTGTTCTCTCATGAAACACTGGGTTGTTGGCAATGTGTATAGCAGCCTGGTTATCACACCAGAGTTTAGCAGGCATTGGTGTCTTGGTGTCTTCAGTCCGATTTCACTCAATAGATGGTTTATCCAGATTATCTCACATGCCGATTGTGCCATAGCCCGATATTCTGATTCAGCACTCGAACGAGAAACCACATTCTGCTTCTTACTTTTCCAAGAGACGAGATTACCACCAACAAAGACGCAATAGCCAGATGTGGATCTTCTGTCATCTTTAGATCCAGCCCAATCAGCATCTGCAAAGCATTCTATGCTCATGTGATTATGATTTTGATAAACAATACCTCGTCCTGGTGTCCCCTTCAAGTAACATAATATATGCTCTACAGCATTCCAATGATCAACTGTCGGAGATGACATATATTGATTTACTACACTCACTGAGTATGCAATATCTGGACGGGTAACTGCGAGATAATTAAGCTTTTCAACCAACCTTCTATATCTTTCTGGATCTTCGAATGGTACGCCTTCATGAGTGAGCTGCACATTGGGAATCATGGGAGTATTGCTCGGTTTTGCCCCCAGTTTCCCTGTTTCAGTTAGCAAGTCAAGCACATATTTACGTTGAGATAGAAATATGCCTTTCTTGCTCCGTATAACCTCAATCCCCAAGAAGTATTTCAATGAGCCCAAATCTTTCGTCTGGATTGACTATGAAGAAAATTCCTAAGAGCCAAAATACCTGCATTATCACTCCCTGTAATCACAATATCATCAACATACACCACAAGCAATGTGATACCTGCTTTTGTTCGTCTGTAAAATACAGAGTGATCTGATTTGCCCTTTATCATTCCAAATCGTTCAATTGATTGACTGAATTTCCCGAACCATGCATGGGGACTCTGTTTCAAACCATAAAGAGACTTGCGAAGTCGACACACTTTTCCATACTCCCCCTGAGCAACAAACCCTGGAGGTTTCTCAATATAAACTTCCTCCTGAAGATCACCATGCAAGAATGCATTTTTAATGTCCAACTGATGTAAGTGCCAACCATTAGTTGCAGCGAGAGAAATAAGTAACGTGACAGATGTTAATTTAGCAACAGGAGAAAAAGTGTCAGAATAATCAACACCACAGGTTTGAGCATAACCCTTCACTACTAATCGGGCTTTCAACCGAGCAACGGATCCGTCAGGGTTAACCTTTACAGCAAAGACCCACTTACATCCAATAGATTTCTTCCCTGTAGGCAAGTCTACCAAATCCCAAGTACCATTAAGATCCAAAGCATTCATCTACTCCTATCTCAGCTGTCGCTAATTCAGGTAATCCAAACACATGTCTTGTGTCTTCATCCTCAAAATGGGTTATATGACATGTAATCCTAGTCTTTTTTCCTCATTCCACACACCACTTCATACTTCTAGTGTTACTTTGGCTGACGGATCTACGTCACCAGTTCTTGGAACGTGTACAATTGTCCCAACACCTACCTTACCTTTGTCATCCATCCTAAGTCTTCCAAACCTTGCCTTTAATTTGATTTCGATCAGTAAAATGCACTCTACTGAAAGCATCTTGAAGAGAAGAGACCGCATCACCAGACAAGATATGTGATTTGGCTGTTTCAAAATCAGTCGTAAGACCAGCCAAAAAGCTCATAACCGCCATTTGTTCTCGTTGTTTCTGCTGCACTTTGATATCAGGACTAAATGGCATTAATGTATTAAGCTCTTCATAAGTTTTCTTGAAATCCATAAAATAAGCCGTGAGAGGCTTATCTTTCATTTCAGCTCTGTAAAAGGCTTTGCACACCTCATAGATGTGATTAAGATTACCTTTGCCTGAATACATAAATTCCAAATAATCAAACAGTTCTTTCACAGTATCACAATGACTAACATACCCCATGACATCGTTCTCCATGGAGTTCTGAATATGGATAAATAATCTAGAATCATCACGAAGCCAGACATCATTAGCAGCTTTATCAACCTCCTCATTTGGCGGATCATCAACTAAGTGGGTATATTTATCAATGCTCCTTAAATAACGTTTGATAGTTTTACTCCATTCAAGATAATTGGAGCCACAAAGTTTATTCTCAGTAATTTTAAAGTTAATGGGAATAACTTCATAAACTATCAAAGGCTGACTTTGTGTTAGTGCGGAGGTATCAGTGTCAGAACCAGGCATATTCTTTTTTTTTTAATTTTTTTTAATTTTTTTTTTATTTTTTTTTTTCAGAAATAAAATATTAAAGGAAAAATTGATAGTAATAATCCCAACTATTGGCGGTCCGCCTATAATAATCCCAACTATCGATTATTTCATAATAATCCCAACTTTAGGGACCTTCCGCCAATAATGGTCCCTATAAATAAATTGTTGTAGTTTCTAAAGTGGATGAGAAGAGATATAACAAGTAATCCCTATAAATAATCCCAACTTTTAATTTTTACGCTTAATTTCTATTTAAAATTCACTTTTTATAGGAGGTAATATTTGGTCATGGACCATTATTGGCGGACGGTCCATATAGTTGGGATTATACAAAAATAATCAATAGTTGGGATTATTATCGGCGGACCGGCAATAGTTGGGATTATTATTTTCAATTTTTCCTATATTAAATGAACTTACTGCCTTTTTCCTACTAGCGCCAGGTCATCATGAATGGCGGAAAAATCCTGTTGTCCACGCCTAGTGTAGAAAGCATGAAGCAGGCTTCCAATATTATGAAGAAGTATACCTGGACATTGCTAGAGCAAGCCCCGACGAGAAATGAAGGGTGCAAGGAAGAAGCTTGTGCTGCCAGATCACTGTTCCTGGTACGGTCAAGGAAGAAGCTCGTATGCCTGGTACCGTCACTTTCCGATGTCAGCTTATTCAAGAGCTGGAACGAATCCTAACCATCCCATGAGAAGCGACAGCAGCAGATGGTCTGAAAATTTCTGAGGTCGGGTGGGCAGACTGTATGTGAAGGAAATTTCTGGGAAATTAGCTCAGGCTAATTGATTTTCTGGGAAATTGAACTCAAGTTTCTGAAGAATCGGAAAACTGAAATCCTGAAGAAAGGATTTAGAGACAGACTGGTGTCTGAAGGTTCTGAATAATCTGAAAACTGAACTGAAGGAAGAATCCAGTCTGAAAATTAACTGGAATTTAAAAAAAAAAAAACTAAACTAAAGCGGAAGGCTCTGATACCATGTTGAAATATAAACTAGAATGATATTAAAGATGGAGAGAAGGATTTTCTGTGTATTTCATTGGAGGGATAAGTCCCTATATATATACACATTACAAAGATAGAATATTCCTATAAGATGCTATACAATAATAATATCCTAGAGTATATTCCTATAAGATGTTATACAATAATAATATCCTAAAGTATATTCCTAAAATATTCCAAAGCATATTCTAAAGATAGAAGAATATTCTAAAGCATATTATACAGCATATTCCAATGTCTTTCACAATTAGATAAAAAAGAATATACATAAAATAAAAAGAATAAAGGGATTAAGAACATAAGAAAGATAAAGAAGATAAAAGGATAAAAAAAATGACAAGAGATCAATCCTCCACATGCATCTCCAAAGTCATACTCTAATCCAACCCAAGAAGAAGAAGCATATCACTCTTGACTCCTCTAATCTACGTCTATTTGGGTCTTCCCCTCTCCGCCCCGCCTCTTCCTCACAACTCTCCACTCGTCTAACGCGTGCATCACTGGGTCTTATACGCACAAGACCAAACCCCCGCAATCAAGACTCCCGCATCTTATCTTCAATAGGCGTTACTCCTGTCTTTTTTCTGATAGTCTCATTCCTCAAGCGGTCTTTTCTAGTATATCCAGATTTCCCACGCATCTCTGCCACACTCATCTTTTGAATGTGTCAATAAGTCTTACATTTTGGCCCATATCACTATCCCACGTGAGTTTACCTTGAAATAGCAAATGTATAAGTTGCCAATAAGACAAAAAAAATGAACTGAAATGCACAAGGAAGATACGAGATAAGTAGATATACATTAAAAAATGGGTACCATACTGTGAATTTCAGTCCTGCACTTTTCAATTTTGTCTTAACTTTGACCCAAGAAAAATGCTTTTGAAATGTTTCAGTTTTACTTTCCAAATAAAAAAGGTGTTGCTTTCGTTTACTTACAAACCCTCACATCACACTGGCATGTATACTCTTGTAACATTGGTATATCAAGCACACTCTGATATGAATTTGGAACAAGTATCATGCTAGGTGTAGGCCGTGTAGCTAATGCTAATGGGCTTATAGGATCTTCATCAACTTCCAATTGAGGGTTGCCCAACGCCCCAAACCATTTCAAAAACTAAATAGAAAGTTTTTGTAATGTACCACAACACTTTTTGTGATTTAAACTTTGGCACATCAATAGTCTTTTCATCAGATATAGGTGTGGAAGAATTCAAAAGAAAAGGGTGTGGAAGAATTCTTAATATATCGAGTTTTCGGTGATCAAAGATGGTGGTCAACTTTTGCGGCGAGTAAATTCGAAGAAAGAAGTCTGCAACAAGAAACAGTCAAGGCACGTGCTTGGTTCCCTAAGAACCCAAAGTGTGGCCACTGGCCAGAATCCCCAGCACTGACCTTTGTACTATGGATTCTGAATTTCTGATGCCAGTTTGGTTGCATAAATCCACTGAAAGGATTCAAGAAGACTTTGTAAATGGTTTCCCACAACCATATAGGATTTGAGCCACTATCATGCCAATATGCCATGATGGCAGGATAGAAGTGTCATGAGGTTAGAGTAAAATACTTAGAAGAACATGTTGAAAAGACTGATGAGAATTTAGAGGGCCAGAAAAGTTTTTTTTTTTTTTTGAGAACCTGAAATGCACAGTAGTGATAGATGGATGTACTTATAGGAAGGGAAGGACTATACTCATCATTCTTGGTAAGTAGTCTATAGATACAAAAGAGGAAGAAGTGGTTGACAGCAAGCCACATACGAGAGGAAAAGAGAAAATAAAACATCCCAAAGCATTTCTGGGCAGTTAGTTGTAGCAACTAAGCTGATTCTGAGGCCTATATTTTCTGCTCTATCCTACTCTCTTATGCATTTTCCCATACATTCCTGCTTATTAGAGTCTGCTTATTCTTATTTGATATTGCAGGTGCTATAAAGTCTAGTAGTATGCTTAGATTAGGGGATTGAATTGCTGAAATATCTGTTTGTGCTGAGAGATTTGTCTCCATAGTCCATACAGACAGATAATTTATCCATATTCTGTAACTTTTAGAATATTCATTAATTCATACTCTCTTCCTACTACTTTACGATTTCTAGCAGTTGCTTTGGACACCTTGTGTAGCCCATTAGTAGAAGAAACCAATATAAAAATTGAAAGAGTGAAAATGAAAAGAAAACTAAGAAGAAGAATGAATTCACATCCGCATTAGAAAGAAGAAAAAAACTAACGAAAAGCAGAAGAGAGAGTACATGAGAATCATGCCAATTATAATGGCTGGAGTTCAGTTTCAGGAGCCGAGGTCAAAATGTGAAGAAGCTACGATAGTTCAATCTCATTTGACCGTTATAGCCCAAGTTCGGCTGCTTTTAAGTGTTTGTTATTGCTTATGTTTTTTGAAACAGTGCGACAGCATCTCATTACTAGCTTTTGTAGTTGATTATATTCAATCAAAGTCAAATGGTAACAAAGCCATCAATTTCTTATTTTCCTTCACTTACACCAATCAAAACAATTTTATGTTCACTTTTATCTTCAAAAGTATAAAAAATTTAAGGACAAATAGAAAGAGCATAATTTTGTATTAAAAGCCAGAAAATGAATAACTTCTACACAGCCTTATCATATGTCATACCATTTCCGTAAGCATTTACTCCTTTCAGCAGCAGTGAATTGTCTCCACGCTTCAGCAATAAACATTGAATATATTAGGTCAAAGTATCAAGCCAGTACATGGTAGATGCGAGAACAAGTAGGCATGGGGTTCGAAAATACTAGACTAAGCTTAATGAGCTACCATTTAAAAGCATATATTAAAAAAGTGGATTTCAGCAAAATTACAGATCTGGAGATGTTTGAAACAAGGGAGGAATCACAAAAAATAACAAAACCCTTACAACAAAATGCATTGGATGCTGAAGTGATGGCATCATTAGTCTCTTTACACCCCATGAATGGGACCTCAGTTATTACCTCCCCTGTTGCAGGATTGTAAACCTGCCACATTAATTAACATGTTCTCGAACGAATATAGAGATCCAGATGTCAAAATGTAGAATTGCTCGATCGAGTCGATCCTAATATTTATCTTTTTGCATGTTTTTCTTTTTCCTGTACCTATGTAAAAATACAAGAGTACGAACCTTTATGGTCTTTCCATCATAAGCATCAACCCATTTCCCTCCTATAAGGGCTTGACTTTTCAACAATCCAGATTTATCCAGGCAAGCAGCAACACTCGATGCTTCAGTACTCACCTAGCCATAAAGTTTATTTAGATTTCAAACTCTACTGAAATTAGTTGCTTTCATAAAAATAAAACAAAAACACATTATTACATATGGTATAATTGTTAATGGTACTCTTCAGTAAAATATATAGGTGCTGATTATACTTAGGATTGCAAATTATACTACAGTCTCCCATGACATACATATATCACACATTCACACCACTTGTTATATTATACTTCAGTCTCCCATGACATATGCTTTTAAGTACAACAACAACATCCAAGCCTTAATCCCAAAAGATTTTGGGGTCGGCTAACATGAATCGATCCATGATATCAGTGCCAAAAAGAGAAGACGGACAAGAAAAAAAGGAAAAAAAGAAAGATTAAGATAAAACGGATAAGATAAAGATAAATATATATAAGATAACAATAACATAAGAAAGATAAAAAAAAAGATAAAGAAAAGTAAAAGAGCATAAAAAAGCTAGAAGATAAAAATAACATAAGAACATAATTTTCCATAATTTTGAAGTCTATTCCATAATTTTCTATTTAGTTAAGCTTTAGCCTTCATGTTCATTTCTCTATGGAATGAACAAGTAGCAAATCTAAAATGTGAATTGGGAGGGGAAACGCCTAAATGGTATCACAACTATTTGGTGATTATTATCAGGGGCGGCCCTAGGGGGGCGAGGTGCAACGTCCCTAGGCCCAAAAAAATGGAAAAAAATTAGGCCCAAGTAGTTCTTTATAATAGGTGTGAGTAGGCTGAGTTTTCAACAGTAAACTAATATTTTTCGGGTGAAATTTTTTTATGTGCTTTCAGGTGGAATTGTTTTATGAAAATTTATGAACATGTTATTTATGATGTGTAGATTATGTCCAACAAGTTTCAATTTAAAACTCAATCTGTAAGTCTGTTAAATAAATTATTCAAAAACACTGCACTTTTTATGCATATTTAGGCGCAGTGTTTTTCAATAATTTATTTCACTGACAAACCGATTGAATTTGAAGCTAAAAGTTTGAGGACATAAGCTAAATTTGATTTTAAAAAAAAACATGCTCATAAATTTCAAAAAAACAATTGACTTTGAAGCAAATTAGTCTCATATCATTATTTGATTAGTCTATTAATTGTTTTTATTCATAATTTCTTGTTTGATTTCTTAATTGTTAATTGTTATCTATCGAGTGTTGGTGTTATAATTTATTGACTTTATCAAACAAAAAATTTAAATTATAATTAAATTCATAAGTTTAATTAATTTTAAGGTGTAATAAAAATGATCGAATCTGGATAGGATAAAGAAAAGAGGAAAAAATTAGAGAAAGCGGCGCTAAGTAAAAATGGTTCAATGGAAAAGTTTGTTTGGGTAAGGAAGTCAATCTGAATATCCTCAAAATGAGAATTCAGATGAGAAGAATGATTTAACTACCGAAATGAAACGATCCATAATGATCACATCATTGGAGGTGAGAATTTAGGAGTTGATAATAATAGAGTTAATCCCTTAAATAAGACTAAAACATGGGTTAAGTCCACAAATAGGACCACCTTAGTTTTAAAAGGCGCGAGGCGGCGCGAGGCGTTTTCATTGATTTACCCGAGGCGCGAGGCGCTAGGCGGCGAGGCGCGCGCCTCACGGATCTTAAAGTCATATCTTTGGTAAAATATATTTATACTACTTTTACATGAAGCACTCTTCTCAAAAAGTGATAACATCACCAAAATAATTCAAACTATTAAACAATCTTAATAAACATCATAAGAGAAACCAAATACTCGTATTATTAAGACAAAAGCAAGAAATATATATTAAATGGCATCATTGCTAAAAGTCAAGACACAAAACTCAATTTTAAAACTTCAAAACGTAAATAATAAACTATGGTATTATATAAAATAAAATAAAAATGTCTTATATATTTGACAATTAAAAACAAATATTTAGGTACCCTACTCAGCCTGATTTAAAACAGACCGATAGAGGTAGTAACTCTACAATTTCAAGGTTATAAAATATAAAATAATAAGCAGCAAAAAAATATAAAATAAAACATACGGAGTACTTAATTAATAAACTAATACACGCATAAGAGAACAAGAAGAAACAAACTTACCTGTGAGTTTTGCGATGCGAGAAAGCAGCGGAAGAAATAGGACTTGCAAGTCCTGAGCGCGAGACAGCAAGAAACAGCTACCGCAGAAGGAAGAAGAACAGAAAACTAGAAGAGACTTAATCGCCAAAAGAGAATTCTACGAGGCGTGAGAAGCGCGCGCCTCTCAGACGCGCAAAAGGCGTCAAAAAGCGCCGCATAAGTCACGCCTCTTGGAACCTACGCCGCCTGGGGTTTTTAGATGCGATGAAGTGAACGCATTAGGGCGCCTAGCGCCTTTGCGCGCCTCAGGCGCGCTTTTTTAAACCAAGAGGACCACCAATGCTTCCTTCCTAAATAAGGATCACCAAGACTATAATACTATTTACTAATGAAATTCCGAGTAGTGAACAAGTGCCTCCAAATAATCGCTCATAAACTGAGTAACAATTTAGTAACTTAGACCTCAAGTGATTCATTCATCTCAATGGTGCCCTCAACTCATGAAAAAGTGTTACATTCCATGGCAATTGACTGAATTGATAGTAGCATGACAAAGTGAGACGCCATGTGAGTTTACACTAATGCAGTGATGAGAAAGTATGTTTGCAATGTGATGAACTGATGACTTCTTTGTCTTAAAAGGTGTTTGGTTAAAAGTCTTTAAGGGTGTTTAGTAAAAGATGGCATGTCAAAAATTATAACACAAAAAGGACAAAATTCCACAAGTTTGTGTTCCTTTGACCCAACGTAATATATATTGTGTATTCCGATAGTTAGATCCATCGTATCTAATTGTATTCCATTTTGGTGCCAGGAATGTAACATTTCTCATTCATGGGGTACAAATGGGGTACAGTAAGGAGTTTTGGTACCAAAATGGTACATATAAAATAATTGGCTGTACTATCTAAGCATTTTACCCTAAAATGATAAAACAATACATTAGAGCTTAGATGCAAAGTTTGACTTTGAAGGTCTTTAAAGTCACTGTTTGACCGTTAGTACTTAAGATGATATACTTATAAAGTACACTGTAATAAATTAACATTTCAGTAATATATATTCCATTAAAATATAACTATCCAAAATTATTTTAGTGTTCTAATGTGATTTTTGAATAATTAAAAGTCAAAGTTGAAACATGAACATCAGCTCCTAGCAAAAAAGGGAATTAGAAATCATGCATAAATGGGGTGAATAAATGCTAATCGGGGATTACAAATAATAAATTTGACTGAATTGTACAGTCCACAATCTATAATCATCAGTTGCAATATAAATCATCCGAGTTTGAAGAAATAAAGTACAGTTTGTAGTACGCAAAACAATCAAACAGAAGAGCAAGAGAAAAGATATCACCGAATACCGATTACAATGATCAATCTACTTATTCATCCTGGTTTAGTATTGGAAAGCAAGCGAAAATGGGAAATTTACCGCTCGAGCAAATCTGACTGGCATGGGAGATGAGGCCGAGCGAAAAAGAAAGAGGTTGCGGCAGCTAGCAGGAAATGTCGCCATGCGAGAAATTGCAGACCTCATTTTCGCATCAACAAACTCCAAAGTCACTGCTTCAATGGAAGCAGCAGTCTGTCACTAGGAAAACTCAGCACGTGTGGTTGAACAGCTTTTCCGTTCCTCTTTGTACTTCTTTTGTACGGAGTAGTAGTAAATTATTTGTATTTTAATTTCCGATGCATGGGACATTAAAATGTAATCAGGGCCGATGATAAGGACATGTCACCTACACACTTATCTAGGGCCTCCAAATTTAGAGGGGCCTCCAATTTTTTATGTAAGCCCATTAGTGTTATAGGTATATTAACATATAATGTAAACTAATACTAAAATTCCCCAAATCTAAAAATAAAAAACTTGCGGACTAGGGAGTCACGCGGCCCACCCCTTGTGAATTCCGAGATTCCCCGATTTCAAAGTTCGATCCTTCCGTAGTTCTGCTCCTTCGCTTCTCGGTTCTCGCAATCCGCAATCGTCCTTCTCAATTCCGCTGACCGGTTCTTTGGAGTACTATTTGCAATTGCAGGCCGCTTCTCAACTCAGCCGTATAGAGGTTTTCGGCAGACCGGCACTGCGACAGTGCGGCTAAAGGTAAGCTTTTCAACTTATGCCGTGACGTCTTTTTGCCTTCTCGTTTTTATCTTTTTGTCTAAGTAACTAAGTTCAATTATTGGTTTTAGAGAGCTGTTGGATTTTATGATTTACTTGATTAAGTGTTGTCCACTTGTCTTGTAATCTTTTAGTTTAGCTTTTTTTAAGTTTTTCAATTGCTACTTTTTTAATAGTTAGTCGGTTAGGGTCCTTGGGTAGTGGGTAGTACTCTAATGGGGCCTGGGCTATTTATTTGTTGTATCATTCTATTTTAGTATATACATCAAATAATAATAACTCAATTTAGTTATTAATTTAGTTATTAAAACTTACTGTATATTCATATATGTTTGATATTATTGAAAGTTAGAAAAACTTTATCTAGTTGGAGATTGTATGAAATTGTAGGTTTGTGGTGACGGGAAAACGAAAACATGACTCGGGATATACAAAGAGAAAGAATAAATTAAGAAAGGACATGGTCATAAAATCGTTTGCCGGTTCTATGGGTAAGTACATCAGCATAAAAGCGTCTCCCTCAAATATAGTTGAGAATGAGGCTACAAATGTTGTGTTTGAGGATGAGCGTGAGGATGTAAATTGTCAGAGTAATGACACAATTGTAGGCGATACAAATGAGAAGGCAAATATTGTGAATGAAAATGACAATGTAAATGATGGTAATGAGAATGAGCATGTTAGGGCCGAGAATCCAAATAGTGAGAAATGGATTATAGATTATATCTCTACTTTGTTGAACTCAGATGATTTATTTGATCCAAGAAGTTGGAAAGCACCTATATCTCAAAAACAAATAGATTTGTTGGTTGAGAGAGGTCCTATTAGAATAAAAGGGCTTGAGTATCCTATCGATAAGAAGCGCAGTTTCAATGACAAATTCTATACTCGTTGTTTGGGAAACAGGGAAAGATATGATAGGCCATGGTTAGTTTATTCATTGTCAAAAAACAAAGTCTTTTGTTTTTGTTGTGTGTTATTCAAGAAAGGTGCATTGCAAAGCCCTTTAACCACTGCAGGTCAAGGGTATGATGATTGGCACAACTTAAATACTAGACTTGTAGAGCATGAATTAAGCAAGGACCATATCCATAATTTACAAGCATGGAGGGAGGCCGAAGTAAGATTGAAAAAAGGGGTGACAATAGATGCTTCTCGAGAACAAGCTATTAGCAAAGAAAAGGAGTATTGGAGAGCGGTTCTGAAGAGAATTGTTATTGTTGTCAAGACCCTTGCTACTTGTAACATAGCTTTTCGTGGAGATAACGAAAAGATTGTAGATGACAATAATGGGAATTTCTTGAAGATTATTAATATGATTGCTGAATTTGATCCGATAATGGAAGAACATCTCAGGCGTATTCGGAAGAAATAGATCCGAAATCATTATCTTGGGCATAACATTCAAAATGAGATGATCCAACTTTTGTCAAATGAAGTGAAAAAGAAGATTCTTCAAGTAGTGAAAAGTGAAAAGTATTTCTCTGTTATCCTAGATTGCACACCTGATGTTAGTCACGAGGAGCAAATGACACTCGTGCTAAGATGTGTAAATGTGTCTACGAGTCCGATTTGAGTGGATGAGTTTTTTGTTACATTTGTGAAGGTTGTTGAGACAACCGGAGAAGCTCTCTTTCTAGAACTCAAAAGACTCCTTGAGACCCATGAGCTTGATTTTAACAATGTAAGAGGGCAAGGTTACGATAATGGCTCAAACATGAAGGGAGATAACAAGGGTGTGCAAGGTAGAGTCTTACGGGAGTATCCTAGAGCATTTTATACTCCATGTGGTTGTCATTCTCTTAATCTTGCCCTTTGTGATATGGCCATGAGTTGTCCGCAAGCAAAAACATTTTTTGGAGTTGTTCATCGAATCTATAAATTATTTTCGGGTACGTCTATTTCATTTATATATTTTTATTTCATTAAATAACTAATTTATTTATTGTATACCTATTTTTTATTAATTAATTTGCATCGTCAGGTTCAACAAAACGACGGGAAGTTTTCAGGACTTATGTTAAAGACCGTGATGGAAACGGTCTTACTCTTAAGTCATGGTCAGATACACGTTGGGAAAGTCGTGTTGCCAGTGTTAGAGCAATCAGGTTCCAAGCACCACAAATTAAAGAAGCATTGGAGCACTTAACCAAATTTAGCAATGACCCTAGCACGGTTAGTGATGCCAAGTCTATCTCCGATTATGAAATGAACTTTGATTTTCTTGTTGCTTTGGTCTTATGGTATGAGATACTAAACAAGGTCAATAAGGTTAGTAAAGTCTTGCAACAAAGAGATATGAATATGAGTTCAGCCATTACTCTCTTGAAAGGTTTGATTGCATTTTTCAAAGAATATAGAGAAGATGGATTTGAAAAGGCCAAAGTTGAAGCTGAAAAGATAGCCGTTGAGTTAGACACTGAACCCCAATTTCGGGAGACACGGGTCCGTACCAAAAAAAGGTTCTTTGATGAGAATGCAAATGATGAACCAACAAGGTCACAAGAGAATGCATTTAAAGTCACTTACTTCTTAGTTCTTGTTGATATTGCTCATTCTTCACTTTCTGCTAGTAGATTTGAGCAGTTTCATAAATATGATGATACTTTTGGATTCTTGTACAATTTGACTAAGTTGAAGGCGTTGTGATGAGGACTTGATGCGTTATTGTGGCAACCTTGAAGATTTTCTCAAGCATGGGGATGATGAGGACATTGATGCCAAGGAGTTGCTTTCAGAACTACAGATGCTAAGGGTTTCAATGCCAGAAAGCACAAAAAAAGTGATTGAAGTGTTGGAGAGTACATAAAAGATATGCATATTTGTTTTCCAAATGCTTGGATTGCCTACAGGATTTTGTTGACTATTCCAGTGACTGTTGCAGCTGCAGAGAGAAGTTTTTCAAAATTGAAGTTGATAAAAAATTATCTTCGATCAACCATGTCTGAAGAGACGCTATCTGGTTTGGCTACTCTATCGATTGAAAAAAAAATTAGCTACTCTTGATTGTAGTGATGTTCTTACGAATTTCGCTCTTCACCACCTATGGCTTCACCACCACCGGCACCTTCTTGGTATACCCCCTCCGATTGGGGTAATTTTGGTGGCTCTAGTTCCGGCGGTGGTGGTTATGATGGCGGGGACACTACCATGGGGGAGGGAGGCGATAATGACATGCACGAAAGCGGCTTTGGAGGAGGCTATTATGGTGGAGAAGGCGGGCACTAGGGATAGTGCCATGATTCAAGTGTGGGGGAGGGAGATCCATCTCTTGGTATGTACACTCCCTTTGTTTTTTACCTTGTACTAAGCATTATTTTCTTGTATTAGTTGCACACAAAAAAAAAGAAATGAAATGCTAGTTAGGTTGAAAACCCAAAAAAAATGGGCAATCTAAGCAACAAGGGCTTACAAAAAAATAATGAGTGAGTGGTAAGGAAAAAAAATGCTAGGATGAAAACCTGAAAAGGCTCCTAGGCAAAATGAGAGATATGAGATAAAAATTTGTTTTATTTTGCAGGACATTATCTCTTGAAGAAGAAGAAGAAGGAGAAGAAGAAGAAAAGAAGAAGAGAGAAAGAAGAAATAAGGAGCAAGTTGTTTCCTAAAATAGTAATGAGAACATTTATATGGAACATACAAAAAAGGAAAGTGAAAACATTTATGCTATGTTTGTTTGGAGGTGAACCTAAGTTATTGGAGGTTTAATTTTTAATGAACCTCGCTTGTTTATATTTTTACAACAAGAACCTAGGTTATTAATAAATATGGGTTCACCTCAATTAACTTCTAAAAACCTTGAAAACCCCAAAATCAGAGCACCTCCAAATCGGGGGCGTGCGGGGTGAAGTTCTGGACTAATTTATTTTTATCTCTTTTATTCCAATTATAACCCTGTTCAAGCTTCTCTTCTTCCCTTATACTCCTCCATCCCTTAAAACTTTGTCATGTTTGACCGGCACGGAGATTAATAAAATAAAAACTGTGTGATTGAGAATTGTGCAGAGGAGAGAGAATTAGCTGAAACCGCAAATTCTTTACTTAAAAGGGGGAATATTAAAGTTAGTGGAAAATCTAAAAAGGGAAAGTTGGCAAAAGTTTTAGGGAAAGAGGAGGTAGTATTATTTAAACGTTCGCCACTTTCTCTGCCACTCTTTGTTCATTACGTTCCTTCTGCCGCCATCTTCTCCATCTCCCGCCAACTTCATCTCCCAGACTCCCACTAGTTCTACAACTTCTCAACCAACCCCAAGCTTCATTGCACGACCAGGTTTTCGTCTCCCTCTACTACACCCTCTTCTCCACTCCTCGTTTTCTCTCTCTATCGTTAGGTATAATCTGAATAGATATTTATTCTCTTTTTCATGGGATGTGCTAATTAGATTAGATATGATCGAATTTGCTATAATAATTAATTTACTTGACTAAGATACATATCAGTTTCAAATTGACTTGTGATAATTTTGATTTACTTGCTGCAAAACTGTTGATTTACTTGCGGATTACATATGTAAATTGTTGTAATATTGTTGATTCCTCTCAATATCATATACTAATGCCTTGGGAAGAGGGTTTTCATTCAGATAAGGGAATACTCTTTCCAGCTAGCGATTAATCTGTGTATACCTGTTGGGTGTGTTTCGAAAAATAAAGAAAATTAATTAAAATAAATTAATTAAATAAAATGACTAGAGAAAAACAAGAAAGGAGATGAAGCAGAATTAGTCAAAGCTCGTGCTACGCACGATGTCCTTAAAACGTATTTGTAGCCTCCCACGGTGCTAGGAGCGTTGCAACAATTGTTTCCCAGGATACGATGACTACGAACTAATGTTTGAGCACACAAACAAAAGTTCCAGCGAACGAGAACACAGTATGAACACAGAGGGAATTTTCAGATTGCTAGCAGTGTGTTTTAGAGGTGAAAAACGTGCATGGAGTGTATGAATTCGTGTAAAATCATGTGTTGTTGCAAACCACCTGCCAGCCTTTATATAGGAGGATTTGTTGTGTGCAAATGGTGAATTAATGGACCTGAACGTTGGACATCAATGACCAGTCCGTTGGGCATTGAATCGTCCATGAACTGTCCATTTAACGTTGCATTAAAAGACAAAAACGTTACAGTTCAGAACGCGACCAGAAGACCTCCCAACAGAACACCCTTGGGAGGGTTTCTGTCCGAACCCGGCAGAACACCCCTAGGAGGGTTTCTGTCCGAAGCCGGCAGAACACCCTAGGAGGGTTTCTGTCGAGGCCTTCTGCCCGAAGCCACCAGAACACCATACCGAGGTGTTCAAAAATTACCCGTATCACTTGAGAGATGGATTTTTGGACGACATTCGTGTCTGCAGGTCGCCCGCGCACGCAAGTCGCGGTTTTTCTTCTCCGAATTCGGGATTTGATTTGCACCCCCCCTGCGCGCGTGGAGAGAGCCTTTACCCTTAGGAATCTTAACTCCTTAAGGGGGGAGTCCCTTTATAAAGGGTTGCAAATCCCTTGGGTTTTCCGGTGTGGGAAATTAACACACTAGAAACCCATCTTTTTCCCTTCTAACGGGTAAACTTCGAAAAACAATTTCTCATTCACCCATTATCCGTTTTGAGCGTACCATATATCGAATTGTAACCCTAAGCAAGGAAAATCCGAAACCACTTTGACTCGACCCAAATCGGAAGTGGACCCCACTCAAAAAATTGCCCCAAAATAGCCATTTAATGCAATTTTTCACACATTTTTCCAACAATACCTTCAGTTTAAACCTATGATGTCCTTACTTATTTTATTTGTTCGTGGTATGATTTATTTTGGATTTTATTTAATACTCCGTATGTATTTAATTGAGCTTTGTTAAATTCTAATTTTTAGGAACTATATGCATGCCAGATTTACCTCTTGATAACAGAGTTCCTTTTATTCCACATTTATGCAATTATATTTTTCATATAATGAGATAGAGCACTTTCATCCAAACAACATTTTATTATATTAACCTAGGTTCACTTAATTTATTTCCAAACGCCATTTTACATATGCACCTAGCTGCACTTAGGTTCACTTAGTTTTTATTAAAACTTAGATTTATTTTGTTACGCAAGGTTTACTTAACTCCATCCTACCCAAACAGGCCGTACATGAGACGGAGGGAGTGTTATTTTTTAACAATTGTATATGTAGTGAAAAAAGCTATTCACAAATTCATTTATGTGATTCAATTTGGTCCGTATACTCCTCCAAGACACTAAACGAGTGGGCCTATAAAATACGTAGTATATGAAGCATTTTTATTTGGGGAGTCTAAATTGACAAATTGACTAAAAATAAGTACAATTATACTACGTACATTACAGGGAGTGTCCTCTTTTATTCAAAATCTCAATCTCTTATTATGAAACAAAATTACAGGAGTTGGGTGAGTTCTCATAATTTAAGGTTTTGAGGTTTCTAAACTTTATTTTTTATTTTTTATTTTTTGGGGAATTCCTAACCTATTATAGTATATGTTCTATGTTAAGGACAACATCCTTGAATTGGGATGAGATTCAAACTTGTGACCTACACCTTGAGAGTGTCATGGTGATGCCATCAGACCACAAGATACTTGACAAAAAAACACTTTACAAATATAGGTACTTAAACTTTATAAAAATGGGTACCAGAACAAGTCTAATTTATGAGAGTGTTTGAAATTAATTCTGAATCAGGATCAATTTTTAGAAGTCGGTCTCCCAACTTCTAAAAGACTATTTCTATTAGTAATTTTGAAGTAACCAAAAGTACTTCTACACTTTCAGCTAAAGAATTCAATATATGCTTCTACTCCGTGAGAATCTACGTACCAACTCTCCATTGACCGGTTTTAAATATAGAAAAAACTATGATAATGTTGTGATTTATGAATGTGGTATAGTACAAAAACGTGGATTTATAAGACAAAATATCTTTGTGATGGTTTATTGAGCGTCGCAAAGCTCGTTTAGTTGCTCAGGATTTTAATCAGAAGGTTGATGTAGATTTCTCTGGGACTTTTAGTGTCGTCATTAAACCCACCATAGTTCGTAAAGTCCTTACTTTGGCTATTTCTTTTTTGTAGATTATGCGTCAGTTAGATGTTAAGAATGCTTTCCTTCATTGTCATCATACACAAGAAGTATATATGCGTCAACCGCGAGGTTTCATTCATCTTCAATTTCATCATCGCTTGTGTCGTCGGCGGCGCAAGGCTATTTATGGCCTCAAGCAGGGACCGCGAGTATGATTTCATAAATCCAATAGCTTCTTACTGACTCAT